TATAAAAACTTGTTGTCTAATGGCCTAAATAGAGAGTAAAAAAAGCTTCTCACCTCCTGGCACGGAAAAAGCGGTAAGATTGTCCAACACCAGGTGGACTAATGGCAAAAAGATGCCTGCAATGCGTGCCTGAACCTCAGAAACGACACCAGCATAGCGAGAGTCCAGCGCTATCTTGGCGAGGAGACCTCGTAGCAGAAGACTGATCGGTTGTCGGCGGATAGCAAGCGAAGCGTTGGTAGGGTGTCGAGTGCCACCAGCGTGTATGCAACCGACCAGCAAGCAAGAGATTGGTTGCAACAACTGGCCAACTATTAAGTGGTCCTGACAGAAACGCTCTGTCAGAAAGAAGTAATCTCGTTGTTCTTCAATTAAATGGATAAAATAAAAAGAATAGAAGACAGAAGCATAAACAGCTTTACGCAGTGGTAACATATAAGCAGCAATGACTCAGTTCTGAGCTGCTAAGTAGATCCTCAAAGTTTTTGGACTCAAGACCAACCAAAGTTAGAACCAAGAAAGATTTGACAGCAATAATGAAAGAGAAAATTCATGCAATTGGCTAAGATGTTTTTTGGCAGAAGCAAACTGATGGGGTAGATTTTGGCCAATGCAGCAACAATGGAGGTACACGAGCGTAATCTGAAAATCACTCAGGCCCGTAAAGGCAAGAGGATCGACAATTGCAAGAATATTTTCTGAACACTCTACAATGACTCACATACAAATCAAAATAGTTTAATTAAGAACCAGTGTAAGAGCAAGATATGATATAAATGAAATAAAATCGAATGGAAAAACGCCACTAATTCCGAAAATTTGTTTAGTGCAAAGTGTACTAGGACAATTTAAACTCTCAAAGTACTGATGGAGTTGATCTAATATTGAAATATATATTTCAGTATTTTTATTATTAACAAACTTCGCGAGTCAGCGCAAGAAGAATCCATTTAACTATCTCTCTCAAATAATGACTGCATGATTTTGAAGAAATAAGCAAACCAAAGCGGCATAATTGAATTGCTTCGATAGAAGACAGACTTACCAGCCTTATATGAAGGTGTCACAAATGGAGTGTTCAGGTGAACAAAGTGTTCATGCTGGATGAGCTGATAAAGTAGCTGGTAGCGAAGCGAATTAAATCGGTCGATTTCTGCATCCGTCTGAAAACAATAATGAAAATAACGACGTAATCAGATGACGATAGAGATCACTGATTGTGTGGATGGCTGGAGTGGCGGATGAATGGGCGAAATGTGGTCAAACAAACGTGCTCACCATCCTGGCCTGTATTTCAAGGCACATAAGGAGCTCGCGGATTCGGTCTAGAACAAAGCCTCGGTTCATGAGGTCTATAAGTCGAGAGTAGAAAGCTGCCACAGGTTGTACCAGTTCTTCCGCCAATTGAACAAAAGATACAACCATCGTCGATGAGGCAGAAGCCGACGGCCCCTGCACAAGACTGGACGGGAGAGCCGAACTTATATACGCGCCATCGGTGCCGACATTGCCGTTGAGGTGTGTAACCTGGGCCTCTGAGCTAGTCCTAGGGCCAGCTAAAGTCTCCTGGTTACCCGATATTTCCTCTCCGGCCTCCCTATCAAAGTTCGATTCTAATGATCCGGCCGCAGATAGTGATGCAGATGATGTCGACCGTAGGTGGCTGCGGAGGGTGGAAATGGAGGAAAACCTAGAATAATTGGCGAGAAGGCCACTGTTGGCTTCGTATGAGGCAAGGCCAGCTACTGCTGCTGCTGCTGATGATGAAGCGGATGACGTTGAGGCCGAGGTGGAAGGCAGAGAGGATTTGGGTCTTCTCGTGACGACAGCTCCCTCAGTCGGCGGGAGTGTCGGAGAAGACTCTCCGAACACCTTAAGCAAGAGGCTTGAGCCGAAACGACGAGCCAAACAGCAAGCCAAGTCACCAGACCACCAGGCCTCATGAATAGTGTAGTTTTTGGAATTAAGACCAGAGCTAGAAATCGGATCATCTGGTCCTCCAGAAGACATGGACATTTTGGCCAGATAGACGCCGAGAATTTGTGTGAGCAATATTATGTCAGTATGGAAGCCAGCAGGGAACCGCGAATCATCTGCCCTTTCAGCCTGAGCACATGGATTAAAGAATAATCGAGTGAGGTGAGACGATAAAGGACAACAAAAAGTGAAGACGAAAAATGGGAGAAGCTGACCTTTATTTTTCCTGTAGTAAACAGATGTTGGGCCATAGCCTTGAGAATAAGGGCAAAGAAGTAACCGGATTGTCTGAGGAAATGGGCCAAATTTTGCTGATGCATAATGTAGCCCTGGTCGCCGAGGAGCAGGCAGATGAGGGCTCGCAAAAGCACATGGTATACCGGAAGCTGGTACTGGTGACCTCTAATATTGTCATTATTCGTCAAGTTGCCTATTGATGCGGAGGGATGGGCAGATGGGAACGAGGCGGCACAATCAACGGCCAGACGGTCAGCATTAAAAGCGAACTGAATGTGGAAAAGAAATAATATTAAGAGTCAAGTCACAAGCTGGCTGGGAGAGAGAGAGATGAGAAAAGTATAAAGAGCAGGAAATATTTCGACTTTGATTCAGACAAGATTTAAGTATTAAGTACTGTTGTCGTGACTACCAGTAAATCAGTAATATAAGATGTATTCACCCAATTTCGTTTAAGGGCTGGTAGAAGAAGAATTTTCCCACAGTTGAGCTGAGGGTGTTTGATAAGACCGATGCGAGGTCGAAACTGCAGTCCACCCTGGATGAGAACAACTTTTGAGAAACAAAGGCTATGTGAAATTCAATGTAAACGTCAGCTCAACTCATATCATTTGTGGGAAAATTCTACTTCTACCAGTCGTTCATCACCTTAAACGAAATTGGATGAATAAATCTCATATTACTGATTTACTGATAGTCACGAAAACAATACTTAATTCGAAAAATAAAGTATAGTAGTCGATTGTCATAGCAGATATACGGTTGCTTCATCGACAATTCCACCAAAAGAATATGATATGGCCAAAGGGCCTGGCCTTCCTTTAAAATTCACATGTGCCCTGTGACCCAAAAGGTACTCGTGGCAGTGTAGCCGACTGGTTAGCGTGTCAAGCTTCCATCCTGCATTGTCGCAATTCGACTCCCGCTCAGGGTGTTGATAAGACCGATGCAAGGTCGAAACTGCACTCCACTCCAGCCGG